TACATACATCAGCAGAAGATCTTCGTGATGTTTATGTAAAAATTGCCTTGGTAGTAAAAAACCAAAAAAAAAGAAATAGATACTATGATTGTATCAGAGAAAATTCGCTTCACGATTTTTGCACAAAATAATCCTCTATATGCAAATGTTAAGGGCAAAATTTCCAATTTTGCCCTTAAAAAAGTAGATAAGCAGTATCAAAAAATAAAAAATGCAACGGCACAAGATCCTTTACCACCATGCACCAAATCTTTCTATAGCACAATGGGACTTCCTTGTGCTCATCAAATTCAACTTCTTGAAAATCATCGAAGCTTAACGCTTGATGATTTTCATGAGCATTGGTGGATATAAGCTCACTTACCAATACCACCTGTCAAAACAAATATTCACGAACTACAGCCCCTTTTGCAAACTCTACAAGAAAAGTATGAAGAATGGCCAGAACACCAACAAGTAGCTGTATGAGAGAAATTGAACCATATGATTAATACTCTATTGACAGTCTTGCAAAATCCTCAAGTTGTTCGTACTAGGGGAAGACCTCCTGGTGCCCCTAATCGTCGAACAAATAATTCAACTAGAAGAGATCCCTTCGGGTTCGAGTTGATGGAACGTAGAGTAAGGAGATGCACTCATTGCAAACAGCCTGGACATTATGCTAGCATCTGCCTAAACAAAAATTAATTAGTGTATGTACGTATATAGAATAGGTTATACAATTCTGCAATTTCTGCAATTCATGTGTGTATGTGGTTCAAACTAACTATACTTATGAAGTTATATTCAATTCTATTTCAAATTGCTATGCTTGTACATATGTATATAATAAAAGGTGTCGTATAATAATAGTATTATTCATGAATGCATTGTATAATCCAGTGTTGGGAAATTGGACAAAAACTGCACCACAATTAGTTTTAGACATGTCCAATTGGTTTTGGACACATTCAAATTAACTTTGAAAACAATTGGACATAGTAATCTTTCCAAAACTGGCATAATCTGTTCTATAAACCTTAAAAGCGTTTTACATATTATATAGTTTAATATAACATACGTACCTACCACCTTAGCATTACCAACTTAAAAAATTTCGCTCTCAAGTCAAATTAAATTCAAGCGTAACATAAAATCTGTTGCGAAGTTTTTTTAGAATAGTAACACTAGAGTTTTAGTATATATGTACGTACATATATAGAAATAAGTATTATGTGGTATTCCATATATAATACGCGAGATTTTCGAATGTGCGCATTATTCTATACATAGTGTGCAAGATTATTGGTTCAATATTAGACTTAACAAGATCACTAAAATTCAAACAGTTCATATTAATTTTAGTCAAAAAATCTTTGACAAATGATATATATAATTAAAGTCTTTGCTTCTTTATTTAATAAAATAATTACAGAATTGAGTGGTAATAATAATTTGAATCTATTTACAAGGTTTGAACAGAAAATCTACATCCTGCATATCTTGAAAAGAAATGTTGATTATTTATATAATATATAGATCATGCGTGTTCTAAGAGCTTCTAATTATAATATCGTGCTTGAAGTTAGCATTTATTTGAAGTTACAATTTCAAACACCTGAAGTCGAACCAGTCTAAACTTACCAACTAATACATGCAAAAAGATCTAATTTCAAGTGATAATTCAGTTCGAGCAGATGCCAATTTTAAGCACGATAATAATACAATATATCTTACGTTAAGTTTCAACAATCATCAATAATGGAGCCACTATAAAATTCGATCAAGAGCCATTATTAGAGATAACTTGCGCATGAATTAATATCTTCAATTAATGCCTGTTATTACCATTGCATAATAACCATAATAACTCGTAACATACCTAAAACAAGCTATTCAAATGAATGGTGTTTTTGTGAAATGTTTCTGTAATGCTTCCTTCACCCAATTTAAAGAAATTAAGATAGTGCCCTTTCAAAAAACAACCACTATTACTTTTCCGATGTCTAAATTATAATTATTTTAAAAAAGTTAGTGTGGTGCTCTTACAAGTGCATCTAACAATGCTTTTTCACCTTTTTACCTAAGTTTATAACCACTCAAACCCACTTACTTCGGAGTATTGTTCTTGCATAGTGCATCTAACAATGCATTTTCTTTTCTAATCCAAGATAATTACAAGATTCAAAGAAGCTAGCATGGTATTCTTACAGAATGCATTAGCTAAAGCTTTTTCAATGTCTGATCCAAGAACATTACAACTAAGATCCAAAAAAATCAGCGTAGTGTTTTTATAAAGTGTGTTTCATTTTTTTCAAGAATATTGCAACTTAGATATTTAGATCTGAAACCAAGTCAGCGTGGTGTTTCTTGCAAAGAGTATTGGATAATCCTTTTTCTCCATCTGATCTAAAACCATGACACTTAATTCTAAAGCAAAGTCAACGTAGCATTCTTATAAAATATACCTGCTAACGCTTTTTTCACTTGAGTACCACTTAGATCCAAAAAAAATTAGCGCAACATTCTACAAAGTGCATTTGTTAATGCTTTTCCAATGTCTAATTGAAGATTATTCTTATGGAGTTGCAAAAAAGAATCCACTACCACTTTTTCTCTTCCCGATCCAAGACTATTACTGCCAGATCTAAAAAAAAAAAAATTCAGACACTTAATTCTAAAGAAAAGTCAATGTAGTGTTCTTATAAAATATACCTGCTAACGCTTTTTTCCCTTGAGTCAAGAATATTATCGCTTAAATCCAAAAAAAATTAGCGCAACATTCTACAAAGTGCATTTATTAATGCTTTTCCAATGTCTAATTCAAGATTATTCTTATGGAGTTGCAAAAAAGAATCCACTACCACTTTTTCTCTTCCTGATCCAAGACTATTACTGCCAAATCTAAAAAAAAAAAATTCAGATACTTAATTCTAAAGAAAAGTCAATGTAGCGTTCTTATAAAATATACTTACTAACGCTTTTTTCCCTTGAGTCAAGAATGTTACTGCTTAGATCCAAAAAAAAATTAGCGCAACAGTATACCAAGTACATTTGTTAATGCTTTTCCAATGTCTAATTGAAGATTATTCTTATGGAGTTGCAAAAAAGAATCTACTACCACTTTTTCTCTTCCCGATCCAAGACTATTGCTGCCAGATCTAAAAAAAAAAAATTCAGCTAGTGTTCTTACGAAGTGCATTCGTCAATGCTTTTAAGATTAATCAGCAGATTGAGTATTGCCTTGCGTAGTGTGTTTTCTAGTGCTTTATCTTCTGTTCAAAGATTACTGCAACTAAGCGCCCCTAAGTGTTGCTTTTACAAAACGAATCTAATACGTACGTACGTACGTATTGTTAAATCCTAACAGCAAAGGAAAAAATTAAGTAATGCAAATTTTACATAATCACATGACGGACATCATGCGAAATTAACTAAAATAGTTATTTACAGGGGAGGGGGTACGAATAGCAAAAGCAGAGGGTACGAATAGTATCGCCCTATATATAATAATTAAGAAATCTATAATTTAAATATAAATTAAAATAATTTTAAAATAATATACCTTTTTAAAAGTTTAAAAAACGGTTAAAAAATATTTTTAAAAAAAATTTAAAATAAGTTTAAAAAAATTAAAGAAATTTAAAAAAAGCTTAAAGAAAGTTTAAAAAAGTTTAAAGAAAGTTTAAAAAAAGTTTAAAAAGTTTTTTAAAAAAGTTTAAAGAAAGTTTATAGAAAGTTTAAAAAAGGTTTAAAAAAACTTTAAAAGAAAGTTTAAAGAAAATTTAAAAAAAAATTCAAAGAAAGTTTAAAAAAAATTTAAATAAGTTTAAAAAAAATTAAAAAGTTAAAAAACGTTTAAAATAAAATAAAAGTAAGTAAGAGTGAAAATGTGTGAGAGTTTAAAAAATGCGGGATAAGGGAATATTTATACTTTTTTTTGTTGTACGTTATAAAAAAAATACACCTTATTTTATGGTACACAAACACGTAAAAATTTCTAAATATATAAAAGTAAACAAACACGTAAACAAATATATTCAAAAAAAATACTCCTTATTTTATATTATACAAACATATAAAAATTTCTAAATATATAAAAGTAAACAAACACATAAACAAATATATTTAAAAAAAATACTCCTTATTTTATGTTACACAAACATATAAAAATTTCTAAATATATAAAAGTAAACAAACATGTAAACAAATATATTAAAATAAAAATACTCCTTATTTTATGTTTCACAAATATATAAAAACTTTCTAAATATATAAAGTATTAGAGTAAATTTATTTAATGCATGGTGCAGTATATATTATATACCGCCTCAATATGTAATACGTGATATAAATATTATTAGCCCAAAATAGCAATTAAATAGAAGATTGTTATACAAATATTAAATAAAGATTGTTATACAAACAACTAGTTAATTCGATTTGGTACAATATTAATATCCAATCGATATACTATACCTATAAGTTTTACTCTTGATATTTATATAAACCATTAATCTCAACTGTATCAAAAAAGTAACTATAACTGAATCGAAATAGTAATTCTAACATACCAGGCTTTAACCGCTCCTATAACCTACTTAAGTAATTTAATCATTTGCCATAATACGTACAATTAAATAAACACCAACTATGGTCAAGGTCAGACTAAGTACATATGTACGCATTTACTAAAATAATAAAAAGCAGTGCTTATTATAATGCGTGCATTTAATCGAGCAAATAAGTTGTAAAAACAACACTATTATATATTAGAGATGCAGTTAAATTACTATAGAAGCAAATAGTTTCAACTGCATCATTAATTACCAATTTGTACAAGACTTATTATAATGCTCTTTTCATATTACTTAATACGATGGCATTCTAAATTTCAGTTCAAACGGATGACTTATATATAAGATTTGCAAAATAGTACAGTCTTAACATTACTTAAGCATTAAAAATAGCTATGTATAAACTAGCACAACTTGATATTACTTAAGCATTAATACATTCAATTACATTTGAACATTTTCCCTATTAGGACATCTAGGAGCATAGTGACCAGTCTGATGGCACAATCCACATTTACGTCTATGTACACTAGCTTCGCTATCTTCACCATCAACATTTTCCAAATATTCTGGTTGTTTTCTATAACTACCTATCTTATTATTTTCTTCATTAAAAGCTTTCAGTCGTTTGTTGTGAGGCCTACCTTTACCCCTACGTATTACTGGATCTTTAACATCATCAGGATGATAAATACGACCATCAGAAAGTTTTATACTATCCAAGTCTTGATCTTTCTCACTAGATACTGGCTGATTTTCAGAATTCTGAATTGCTTCTTTTTTAGCTATGTAAGATAAAATAAGCTTGTCCAAATCATTTTGGTCATTATCTTCTAATGAATAACTTAACGCTTTCTTAAAATGGCTTATAATACGACTATAATCCATTTTTTTTGCATATGATTCTGAACCTGAATTTCCTAAATGTTATTATAGTGTCTAAGAATCAACCTCTGTTCATTATCATGTTGATTTTCCTGAGATGATGTGCTAATAAAAGGTTCTTCATATGTGAAATTAATATTTTTCTATGCATTGTCATTCAACCATCTTGCCGACATTAACATCACATGAAATAAAGCATTCAGATTCTCTACCATCAACTTAAAGTAATGACGGCAAATAATGCCATGTGAAACCAACATTAAACACGTGCACAAATGAGTACTATTATTAAGCATAATATTATGCTGGTATGAATCTGGTACTATGTATGGAGCAACTCGCCAAATTTCTTTAATTAACGTTCTTGAAACAGAATTTAAAAGTGCTTTTAAATACGTTTGCCAAATATCATAATAATCTTTAATGTTTTCTATTGTTTCTTCTCAATTATCTTGATCCTAAATATATAAAAATTTTCATATAGCAGCAAATCGCAATTAAAACTATGAATATAAAAAAAACCAAATCAAAAAAAAAAACTCACCATTTGACCATCATTTAGTCTATCATATACTTTTGGATCTAAGTCATCTTCAAATTTGAAAGCATCATTAATATCCAATTTTTCGCATTTATAAAGTACCGATTCACACATTTGTTTGTGAATTTCTTCAATTATCCGCGGTATATAATATTTATGAATAGTATTGTTAACCTTACTAAAAAACCTCTCTATAATAAATAATTGATGATGATTTATTGATTTATGCTTCCATTCCATAAAGCTTTTATTCAGCACTTCTTTTTCCATACGAAGTTCCAAAGCTTTAACCACATTTGACATACTGGAGCTAGAGACAATTGCTCTATGAATAATTGCATTAATTGATTTGATACGCTGTGTTGATTGCATTCCAGCGGTGAATATCCAATTTATAAATGCTCTTGCCCAAGACTCCCAGGTTGAGTAAATAGTGTTATTTAGATATTGGCTTGTGCTTAGATACTTTTTTAACAAAGATTGAAACTGAGATTCAAAAACATCAACACACAGAGAATTTTGCATTTTCCAAAAGTCTTGAATAAATTCTTTAAAATTTGCAACACCAAGTTTAGATTTAAGCCTTTTAGGCAAATTTTGAGTTAAATGACAAATACAATGAATATGATAAGAATTTTTATATATTGTTTGACATGCCGCATTCATTGTGGGGTTCATATTGGTCATTATGACTTGTGGTTCACAGTTAGTTGCATCTAAGGTTTGTTGTAAGACCTATTCGTAGCTTTCCTGGGTTTTATCACTTAAAAAAGCTTGCGCTCCCAACTGAGATTTACCATAATTATCAACAAGAACAAATAATGACAGAGGAAAGTTATATTTATTTGTTCTTGAAGTGTTATCATGTAAGACAACATCAGAATACCGTGACCATAAAACTATTTGATTTGCTGTCATCCAAAAAATACTACTTAATCAATTACTATCTGCATTTATCAAAGGCTGAACGAACATTGTAGGATCTTCCTTTTGCTATGCAAGTAAAAACTTTAATAAGTAAGATGCATCAGATCCAACAACTTTCTTTTCACGTTTAATCTTTTGAATTGCATTTGATAGGTCTTGTATAAGAAAGAGTTGATCAGGAAACAAAAGTTGTAGCAAATTCCTTATAATATATGCATCGCAACGTCTATACACAACAGCACGTTCAATTTCACTCATTAAAAATTCATTAAATTTTCGAAATGCTGGAGCAAATCTCATATTGTCAACATTAATATCATGATTATGTTTAAGGGCAACAAAGGTTATGTGCACATAATTGCTTGCTTCTGGCTTACTTAAATTAATATGCCATTTGCAGTCAGTTTCTTTGATCCTTTATTGCGTTGTTGCTCAATTGGCTTCGATTTCTTAGGCTTATACTTTCTAGCTTTCTTATATACATATGTTCTTTTTTTAATTGCGCGATTGTCTAAATCATTTGATGCAGTTTTATGATATTCAACTCTATTTCGATCATCTAAATCATTTTTGCAGTTTTATGATATTCAATTCTATTTCGGTTTACTACAAATCCATTTTGCCATCCATATGCCTTCAAATAGTAGTCAGCAATTGACCAGGAACTAAAACGTGTTTCAACAGATAACTCCACAGATTGGTTTAAGGAATATTTTTATAAGATCTTGTCCTTCTAACTCCAGCCCAAAAATAGGGGTATTAATTTAGTTGCTTTCTACATTCTGAAAACCTTAAAAAAAGTTTTTTAAGAAGTTAAGTAAACATCTTTCATATTAATATTCAACACTTATAAAT